ATTTCTATTCTTTATATCTCCAAATATGCCTATATCTATTTTTATTTTAATTATTTAATTATTTATTAAATTAGGAATAAAATATGAGTTTTGATTTTTTCCAATTATTTTTGATCCATACTGTATATGAAATTTTATATAATTTAAATCAATTATTATAAAATTATAATCAAATTTATGATTGTCATTTTTTGTGTATATTACTATATACTGTATATTTTATATCTAAATACTAAACATATAATCAATAATTATTTTTTAAATAAAGATAATAAAATATTTTTTACCTTAACAAAAAAAATTTAAAAAAATAATATATTATTATTTATTAATATAAAACAATATAAAATATTTATGGTTTTATAAATTATATTTTTAATTAATTTTATAATTATTAAAATTAAATTAAACTTTTATAATTATATTTCGGATGTTTTTATACAAATAATATAATAGTAATTTATATAAGTTTTTAATATTATCAAGAATAAAAAAATTCAAAAATTTTTTTAAATATATATGAATTTTATTAGTAAAAACAAAAAAACTATATTTAAAATTAGTTGTTCATTAATTTTTTTTTAAAAAATCTATAAATTAACTTTTTGTTATAAAACGGTTTTTTGAAAAGCGATTTAATTTATAAAAAAATGTTTTTTAATGAATTATAATATCTGTAATAAAAATTTTAATAATGAATAATTTACAAACCAATTTCTAATTTTGTAAAAAGTTTTATTGTTAAATTATAAATAAAATATAATAATAAATGAAGTAATTTATTAATAACCATGACTTACACTGTATATACAATATTCTGTATATGTATATTATAATAACCTACAAGTATTGTATTTATAAATTGTTAACTTATTTTGCTAATCTGGTTAACCTTAATATCACCTTATTTGAAGTAAAAGACATCACGGATATATACTGAAATTATATAATACAATATACAGTATATTATATTATCCTCTATGCCATTTACGGGTATGGGAATCTTCAAAGTGACTAATAAAAAGATGTTTATCGGAGAAAGTTAATTCACACATAGGGCAATTTATTTGCAATTCTTCGTCTGATGATGATGATTCGGAGGGTTCCTAATTACATGTACATAAATTTACAAATAGTGAATAATAATAAATTATAACTTAGAAAGTAATAAAATTTACCTGTGAAATTGCATCATCAATTAGTCGTACACGAAGTGTAAATCCCGGCAAAGTACTATCACCATTTACATCGTTCCAGTCATGTGTGACTCGATAAATAACCCCATTAGCTCTTTTTCTATAAATATATATATTTTTATTTTGCGGATCCACTAACCAACCAAGCTGAACAGATGAGCCAATTGAAAAGTAAACTTCCTTGAACTTTTGATCTAAATTATTAAATTCTTGATAGCCTTCTCGAACAACCGCGACTTCTACAACAAAGGTAGGTGTAAATGGCTGACTCCTGAAGGTCCATTGTTGTCGTTGATCAAGCGAACGATAAATATTTTTTGGAGTAAATGCAACATCGGGTGCACGAATTGTTCGTTGACCAGAAATGTTAAAATTAAATCCACCTTGAGATGTAGTGATGATTCCATTTTCGCGAGTTTGTATATTCCAATTGCGAAGTTGACCAAAGATCTCGCCAGCAACAGCTTCTTTGATTATTGGATTTTGTGGCACTGGTAAAAGTTTTCCTTTATCGAACTCAAGCAGATTTACTGGATCACCATTGATCACCAAGGTACGTGTCTTTAGTTGCTCATTGATAAATTCAAACTCTTCAAACGTATAAATACGATTAAGGTCCAAATTGTCAATATCTACTTTGGCTTTATACATATTAAAGCAAAGAAATTTTGAAAAAATTGATCTAACGATTTACGCAAGATTAATGATTGGCTATAAATATACCCCTGAGTATTCTAAGACCTTCTAAAATCCAGATAATACCCCTGAAATCAAGATAAAAGAGATAGGCAGTTAAGGCGGTCAACAGATAAACGCAGACGATAGGAAAGAACTAAAAAAGCTCGTGTTATTCGCGTAATATGAGAAAATGATAATTAAATCTATCAATATCACATACCAGAACTCCAATAATAATAAAAATAAAAAAGATTATCGGAAAAATGATAAAGGCGGTCACTTTAAAGAAACATTGTTTATAAGACATTAAGACTGAATTCTACAGTTGCAACATTTTTGAGGATATTATACACAAAAAAAAACCCCCAAAATCACGTCAAAAATCAAAAGTGCTTGAGGAATAATATAGAAGAAATTTAGTATGTTACACATAGCAGTAGTATAAAGCGGAAGCGAGTCTACATGGCTGACTTTTTTTTCGCAATACAAGATACTACATAATCGATATTTCTTGATACAGTAAGAGGTCTATCTTATCTTCACTGATAGTATCAAAAATGATGTAGATTTTTCTGGATCATTATTTGCTTGAGATGTCTTGTTAAAAAATTATATAGACTATAATAATATTTTGAATAGCTTTTATAGTCATATTTGACTTTACAACTTGACGATACATTAGAATAAGAGATGTTTGTTTTATTAGTAGATACTAACTGGATTGTGTGAGAATTATATTTCTGCAGAAAAATCAAAACATCGAGTCTCTGATTTAATTTTTCATTAGTTAATTCAAAAATTAACCTTTTTAAACTTGGCTATTCTTTTTTTTTGTCTTCGTGTAATCTTTTTAGATTAGAGTTCTTGTGTTGGATATAATTGAGGATATAATAATATAATAGGGTTAAAAACATCATTTCGAGGTTATTTTATTCCAGTTCTGATTAAATACCATATTATTTACTATAACAGTAGTATACGCTGTGACCTCAACTTGAATTCCATATTTGAGACATCGTAATGAATATATGAATAAATAAGAACAGTAAAATAATTTTTTCTTAGTTACAAAAAGAGCATTATTAACAATGATTGTTTGTTAAATATTCTTAAGATAATTAAAACAAGAGGTTGAAATGTAAAATATCTAAGAGTTAGATCAATGAATCACATATTCACTCTACTAGGGACGGGAATCGTTGTATGTCCGAAGCACTAAAAGATTTGTTTGATTGTAAAACCGTGACACTGACATCGTGATAATAATATAGTAAAAAAGGAAATTATATAAAATTAATTTAGTTGAACTTTAAACAATCTTTATTTTAAAAGAGCAAACATAACAGCAACAGTACATATATAAAAACATAAAACAGACGGTTGGTGGAATATGACAGGATGTGAATAAAAGAATACCCACCGTTAATGTCCTTCGGAAAATTATTATACTGTATATGGATGAGATGATTTCTAGTACAGTAAATTTTACACAAATTTAAATGAATATTATCACCCCAAAATATTATTTTTTGCACAATTCAGAGTAATTTGCTTTGTAAACCTTTAGATAATTTAGTTAAGCTCTATACTATTTATACATTTTTGAATCTTTTTAATAATATTTATTCTCTACAGCACTAGTTACAAAAGAATCTAATTTCATGATATTTTAAAGGTATATAAAGTGAATACATGTTTTTTACTCTTCTAAATATTTCATTAGCAAATCATTTTCTTACTCCAAAAATTTGTATAGAACTTTTGAACAATATGTTAGCTACAATAACTTTTACACACTATTTTGTTCGTACGTTTTTAATTTCAATCAGATTATCCATTAATTTTTAATCATTTATTTTATACCTCTATATGGTCATCTTCTATACAATAAAATTCTTTATTTAAGCACAAATATTTTGGTTTTATTATATACATACAGTATATACTGTATATACAGTTCGTCTAAAAAGTCTTTGGACAAATTTTCAATTTATATTTTTATTTATAATTCAATAAATAATTTATA